AAAAAAAAAAAAAAAAAAAAGAAAAAAAAAAAAAGATGTTCTTGTTGATAATAGTGTCCCAGGGTTAACCCTTTTCTGAGGTCACTTTAACAGCGTGCTTACTTTGCTGGGGTCCAAATACTAGAAATCATTAAACCAAGAATTTGATCTTTGGTCTACTTGTTTTCCCCACCCTCATCCCCAAAAGCACATTTTCACTTCGAGGCCACTTCCTGTAACATCTTATTTTTAACAAGTTATGGTTTATACAAAATACTAACCACACTTTGAATTCATTATGATCTCTTTTGACTTAAGCTTCCATGGTGATGACTCGTTATTGTCTGGTGTATTCATGTGTGCCATTTCAGTTTACCATTCTTTGGTTATAAGTATGACTCTTTATATTTTTCTATTAGTTTTTAACTCCATTTTTCTAATCAATAATAGCACCTGTTAATGCCACTGTAAAAAGTGGCCATTTTGTATTCTTATTTCTTAACAATATCTATTGAGTATCTCCTGACAGGCAGAATTCTGAGTCCTGGAGTTACTGTCCCCAGGGAATAAGACATACCTGGTCTTTGCCCCATTGATATACATGGAAAGGTGTTATAAGCAAGAAAAAAAAAAGATAATATATTTTAAATCTGCTTACTTGGAAAAATTATTGAAAACATTTTTTAAACCTCTGAATGTATTTTTTACTCTGGTTTGTTCTTACTTTTCTGTCTGCCTTGTTACAGACCAACAATTGGGCCACCTTTGTTCTGCAGCCATCATGACCTACCTAGTGCTTTCTTTGGGAATTAGTTGAAAGTAGAATGTAAGATAGGCACTTTGGGATCAGGCTGTCATGGGTTCCAAACCTAACTGCTCTTTACTGGCTATGTAGCCTATTGCAATTACTCTTTCTATTCCTCAGTGCGCACATCAGTAAAATGGGGATTATGGAGCCGTGATGAATGTTCCATACTGCTTTCAGATGCTTAACACAGTGTGTGCAACCTAGTGAGTGCTTGATAAATATCAGCCCCTATTATTAAGAATCACTTACTCAGGCCCAACAGGGGCTACAAAGAGCTGGTTCCCACCTGACTCTTCATCTCTGTGCTCCAAGGCCTGCACTTCCTCAGTCCCCTCACAGGACCATGTGTAAGCACACTGTGAGCAGTTTGAGTAGCTGTGTCTTTGTTCAAGTTGTTACCTCTGTCTTGAACTCCTGTTACCTGACTCATTCTCTGTCATCTTTTAAGACTTAACCTGTGATGTCTTTTGAAGAAACCTGCTTTGAACACCCAGAGTTGAGCTAAGTGTCCCCTTCTGTGTACAGTCCTCTCTCTTAGTGTAGGACAATAGCAAGATGAAATTGTATCTTTGTGGGACTCCTTTGCCCCTGAGACTTTTTAGCCTCTCAAAGGCCAAGAGGGATCTCACTCAGTGCTGTATTTCCAGGATCTCTCCCGTGCTAGTGCTAGGAAACGTGGAGCTGAGCCTGTACCCCTGGATATAGTGCAATGTAGGTCGGGCATTTCACAGCCAGGAAGTCACTGTTATTGGGTGTTTGGTCTAAGTGGCAAAATCTCTGCTTTCAGTTAGGTTAGTTTTAGCTCTGATCAATTTGAACAACAATTTGGCTGTTTTTATACTTTACGTTTTGTTCTATTCTGATAAAATAATAGAGAAAGATATTTGAACTTCTGACAAACATGATGAAAACCTGCTAGATGTTTTTATCTAACCCTTTTAGTTACACATTTTAAACTAGTTTAAGATGTTCAAAGGCATTATACAAACTTGATAGAGATTTCTTCAACGTAATTATCCAGTAAATACTGAATTCTCTTGTTTTCTAGAGGATTGTTAAAAGGAGACTTTCATGTAGTTCTGAACCTAAATTATTTCTTTTTATCAGGGTTTTGTATTGTGGTTTATAAGCAGTGAAGCAGAGTTGATCTAAAGGAAATGTGGTCTTTTAGCAGCCTCTACCTGCTGTAGAGCACCTTGGATATTATTTAGGTCTGATGCAAACCACAACACTATAAAATAAGGTACAGAGAAACATACTTCCTGGCTACAACACGACGCTATTTAGTTAAGTTACACAAAGCATAGCTGTGCCTCCTTGTTAGCTTCTGCCCTGTAGGTCCTTGTGTACTGCTTTAGCAGATTTAAATTATGATTTTCAGCAGAAATGTCTTAGCAGCAAAAATGCTTACCTCTTATTTTACACTCCCTCCTTTCCTTGTAAGATTTTGCTCCCCAGGTACTTGTTGCTTCTGACTAAAGCAAGACGATGATTATATCTCTTTGCGCGGTGTGTTGGAGGGGTTTGGCATGCTACACGGGCCAAAAGGCTCATCTCAAGAAGAAGCTGGGGGAATGGAGAACTAACGTTTGAGAACTTGGCTTCACCCAGCCATTTGACATTATCTTTTTAATGTAATCTTAAGACAAAGCCTAG